GTGGTTTCTCTTTGATCAGTGGCCTTCTAAAAACGGTTACTCTTTTAAAAGAAAAGAAAAGGTAGAAAATGTTTATTTTAGAAATATGATAATATTTAGACATACCAGTAATATTTATTCTCAAAGTTATGCGGCCGATTGTAACGGAAAAAAGCAATGTAGAGTAGCATTAACATTTTTAGATTAAAACGTTGCCTTTGTGTATATCATAAATACAATATCAAAGAATTATTTAACTACATTTAAATTAAAGAAGTTTAAGGAACCTGTCTTTTTTTCTTTTTATGGAGGGGGGGGGGGATTTATCGCAATTGCGCAAATGATCAAGGATAGGATTTGGTATTCAAATCCAAATCCCAAAGAAACCACAATAAAAACCTCTATTCTATTTTTCTTTACATTACTTGCATCGGGATCGTATCGCTCGTCATTTTGACGCTTCGTTATTAACGTCAAATTAACGTTATGTTAAACGTTTTATTGAAATCGCAAGAGTTATCATAAACAATTGTTAAAAGTTTGATTGCCCTATGTATAACATGTTCCTTTACATTAACATGTTGTATGTTTTGTTTTGATTTTTTTTTAAAAAATGAATTCATTATCAATAAAAAAAAAATTTTGAGCAAAATATCTGCCGTGTTTGCCCCATCTTGCTACAAAGGAACAAAGAAAGCAATGATTACGACAGGCTTCGTCATCAAAATATTTAAGCAGAAATAGAAAAATTCATTATCCCCTTATTTTTGATAAAACAATTCAGGTATCTACTGTTACGAATCTCATAAAGGAAGATAGGAGATTGAACTGATATTGAGGTCGTCATCATCCTTTTTTCGTGTAGGTATATGATAATCCATTAAAGAAGACGTACCCAGGAATACTTTAATCTTATTTCTGTTTGTTTGTTTGTTTGTCAGTTTACTTAACGTGCCTTCGGGAATATTTTACTCATATTTTTGACGCCAGATACAGCGTATAGCGATTGAGCTGTGAGGGATATTTGACGTGCTACATTGTACATGAAGTTCTTACTCTGACAAGGGATCTTTGGAAATGCAGTCTCAGCAAACTGAGATTTCCTTGTCCCTCATAGGTATTCAAACCCAAAACGTAAGGATTATCTTCTTCTTCCGCATTATAAATTGAACACTGCAACCACTGGACTACACCTGCGACCAATTTGACCGTCTTCCTCGTCTGTATATCTGTAGAAGTCTTAAAAACCAAGGCCCCGTGTCACGGTAGGCCTTGACACGATAAAGAACCGTCATTGCTTAATGACCTTAAGTGCCGGAAAAAAATTTGAAACCCTTCACCTGCATGACGTCATTTCTAAATGAGTGAAAAATTCACGAATAGGACATTAAACAACAAACACTCCATAAAAGCAGCACGTACATATATACGCTTAAAAAGGTTAAAGATTTTCAATTGCCAATCAATACTTGTTCATCCTTAATGCCTCTATATTTACCTCTAGCTATTGCTAAGGGTAAACTACTTGGTTGAGAGGTAATAATTTGTTCCCTTCCAAGAATTAATCCGTAATTAAATAATCACACATGTAAAATGATTTTTAATATATTTTTCCCGTATAAAATATCCTCTTTTTTTAAAAGTAAAATTCACAAAAGATGTGAACTAAGTTTACCTTTTTTTTCTTGGTGAATTTCGTATTTAAGCATTTGTGTCTGGCTTATCTGGCCTCTATCCCTGACTCACACTTAGATGCGATTTTTTCTTAGTGTACATCACTCGCGTTCCTAGTATCTTTCAGTGTAGGTCTCCCACGGCCGTACCTTTCTGTCCGATTCCATGCACTCGTTGCAATTAAAAGATATTCGAATTACGCGCTAGAAACTGCGCGTTAGAAATCTATTTTTTACGTATATTTTGGCATTGATTGTATATGAGGTATATCAAATGCACTGAATGTTTAAAAATTTAGCAATGTTTTGAAATTTAGCAAAAAGAATGAATATTATACGATTGTGTTTATGATAAATAGTAAGTAGTACTAATTGTAACGGGAACAGTTCCCCAAACGCTCCCCTACTCAACTTTGGGCCTCATTCCCTACAAGCTTCATTAAATTAGGCAATTGTTTTGTTTGATAAATTTACACTTTATTTTCAAAAGTATTTCACCGAACAACGACGCCAACATAGTCCTTTAAGTATTAGTCAGTCAGATTTCAGCGCACATACTTGCTCATGAAATTCATTAAACTAAATTAACAGAGACTCAATAAAGAAGTCGGTTTATTTCTAACATTTTTAATGTTCTGGATTGTAAATACATGTATGCAGGATGTAAACAGACAATAAAGATGCATTACTCAATATTTTTATGATGGAACTTACATTATATATGACAGAAGTTACCCACTACGATGAAAGGAAATTTATGTTAGTGAAACTTGTGATTTATTAAAAAAGTTGTTTTTCATTCGACATGATTGTACATTTATTTATTAAAGTTAAATAATATTAGGGCATTTTTATAAATGCAAAGAAATTTAAACAATTAATCTGTTAATTTTTAGATGTTTCGGCCCTAAGTCCGACTTTGTTAGTTTTTTTGTACGATGATACAAAATTGAATACTATATGAACGAATGAATTTATTAGCAATCTATGACACTCCTTTCATCCCTCCTTCTATTTATCAACCCAAACGAGGCATTTCATCCTATTGTTACTTCTTCGATGAGGGTTACCTTGTCATTTAGCCAATTTTGTCAGGGTTTATGAAGGTATGTATATACTAGTATTGTCGTCCTGTACATATCTGCGACAATATGTACCTACTCTTATTGAACATATTGTCCTCTAACGTTATAAAATGTTGCCGGCAACATTTTTTCCTCCTACATAATGGAAGACAGAATGTACATTCAAGCATCGGCACATCGGCGGCAATATGCACTGTGAACTATTACGTATTTTGTCGCCGAGATATTGTTTTAACAAATATTTATGTTTGTGTTGGAGAGAGAGAGAGAGAGGCAAATACAAATACGCACACGGAGGGAGACAATATTTATAGGACGACATGTATCGTAACAATTACGCTGTGTGATTTACACACCAGTTACATTCATAAAACTACAAAAAAAATCCTTAAGGAACCCTTAGTTTGAGCGACAGTATGTGCAGAAAGGGTAAGCACAAAATGCAGAAGTAGAATGTTTAATGGAATGTAGGTTTTACTTGAAACGTTATGCAGACCTGTTTACCCATATTGTTGTCTCTCAGTATTTTTTATTAGATTTATCAGTGAGGTTTGGAATTTGCCCGTAAGATTGCACTTTCCATCGAGTTTAAATATATTACTTGTGAATACCAAAGCATGGTTCAATAAAAAGGAAAAATACCAGAGTTTGATTTCTTTCGAGAGGTTTCTATCATTATTTTAAACCACCGCGTTTTTCAGCGATCAAAAAGCGTTAAACTGAGAAAGATCATAGCGAAAACTAACTGCAAACGGATTTCCCGATTTCCTTATTTTCATAATAGCAAAACGTGAGACGTATTTTGGACTCAAAATCCGTACAAAATACGGCGAAATCATAAGAGTAAATAGGTCTGGTTATGGCAAATACACGTTTTGTAAAAAAAAAAAAAAAAAAAAAAAAAAAAAAAAAAAAAACCTGGCTGACAAGGAGGTAAAATTGATCAAATACATATACACCATTTTCAGTTTGGAATATAAATCTTAAATGAGATATCTACTCCTCTGACCAGCCTGCCTTTCAGCGAACATTCACAATAGTAAAAGGTTATGTTTGGTTATGTATGCCCTCTCACCCTCCCAATTCCCGATACTACGTGCCAGAACTTTATTTTCTGTTTGGTGCTTTGTGAAACGAGATTAAGTTGGTGATATGTATTCTTAAATTTTCAACATTGTTCCAAAGCAAGTCGAGACTGGTATTGATGAAGTAAAAGTTTCTCAGCTAAATTAAAAAAAAATAATCTTAAAGATCATAAAAGCTAGATGCAATAATTCTACTCCAATTAAGCAACTCTTAATATGTACATATATACGAGAATTTGTAAGTTACTGATAAAATGTATCACTTGCAATACCTCTTAATAGACCAAGACTGTTCAAAAAGCTTCAGAATGTTCCAAAATGACGTTTACTACAACATCCCCGGCAGTTAGTCACAATGAATGGGGTCATTAAATGAGGAAGTTTTGTGTAGGCGCTCAATGTACCCTTCAGTTATCAACTATACAAACCATTAAGTGGGTTAGACTCGGCACAAATTCAGAGTCGACATACAATCTCCATAAAACTGTAATCTTTTGAACCATGTTCTAAGAGTATGCTGGTGAGAACACTAAGAAAGTTATGTGGAATAAAATGTCAAGGAACAGTATTTCGTATGGAAAGCCGTAGGGTACCCCCACATTATTATTATTTTTTCCTATATAATTATACCAAAAATAATTATCTCTTCCAAAAATAAAAATCTTGCTTTTTTTGACAACATTATTATTTTTCCTGCAACAATTATAATCTTGTCTGCCAAACGTGTACACATTATTTTTATTTTGTCCTAAAATTATAATTATTCACACTTCACAATTATAATCTTGCCAGTCAATGTGGACACATTATAATGTTTCGCCTCCAAATAATAATCTTGTCAGTCGATGTCTACATGCACACATTATTTTTATTTCGCCTCAAAATTATAATAATTATTTTTACTTAATAATTATAATCATGCCTGTCCATGTGTACACATTATTTTTATTTCGCCTCAAAATTATAACAATTATATTCCACATCGATCATTCAATAATTATAATGTTCAACAATAATAATCTCGACCAGAAAAGATGCAACATTATTATTTAGACGCTTGACAAAATCAAACGTTTGTATGATTCTGATGCACAGCACAACTATAATCGTTCACCAATTTTGAAAAGGAAAGATTATTATTTGGAGGCTTGAAAAAGGAAACGTTTGTATGCCGAAGATAATCACGTGACTCAAGGCCATGTGCTAGTATCAACAGTGCGGCAGTGCCAGTGAAAATCAGGCGGTATGCCGGTAAGTAAAGATGATTTTGTGATATTAATGTACAAGTAAGTGATTTACATTCATTCGACAAAGGAAATGTCTCAGAAATCAGCTGTCAGCATATTGTAATTGAACTACGGCTTCCGAAGAAACTAGTTCGAATTATCTCTGTACCTTTGTTTAGGGGATGGAGATTGCATGGTGATTTCTTGTTCCATATGTAGATAAAGTGGCGATAAATTATATGATATATCTTTACTAACAGATATATCTTTACTAACAGTATATGCTCGTATTTCACAGTTTTAGCTTGAATTTTCTCTGCAGTAAATCATTTACATTGAGTTTTATACTGTCAGTTGAAAGTCTGACTATTGATGACTTGTCTTGATTTGCTGATTTTATGTAGTTATCTATGATTGGACCAAAACATTTCTCTTAATATGGCACCAAACACCTATGTTTGTGTATTTGTTGTTTGTTGTTTAAAGTCCCTCTCGAGAACTTTTCACTCATATGGACCTATACTCGGCACTCAGGGTCATTGAGCAGTGAGGGATCTTTTTCGTGCCAGCACCTACTGCAACACAGGTTTATACGGTCTATTCCGAAAGACCGGTCTCCACCTCCCGCAATGGGATTCGAACCCGCGACATATCATGCATAAGGATCAACTCCTTACTCCGCGACTCTAAAGCAAATGCTTTAACCACTGCACCACGCAGGCGACCCTATGTTTGTTAACTTGAGCCTATGTTTGTTAACATGAGCAAGAGTTATGTTATTGTTAATTTTTACATTTTACCCGGTATGTTCAATTAACTATCAGTTAACTGCACAAATCACTAAAACACAATCAGGCAACACTCGTGTGTTGGATTTGGTTTTCGCTCACCTGAGCCAAATGAACATTTTGACCGTCTGTAAACTTTTCACATTTTCGACTTCTTTTCAAGAACTACAGGGCCAGTTTCAACCAAACTTGCCATAAAGTATCCGTGGGTAAAGGGGAATCAAGTTTGTTCAAATGAAAGGCCATGCGTACTTCTAAAGGGAGGTAATTACAAATTAGTGAAAAATTAATGGCATCTTTTAAAATCTTCTCAAGAACCACTGGGCCAGGAAAGATGAAACCTGTGTGGAAAGATCTTCAGGTAGTGTAGATTCAAATTTGTTTAAATCATGACCCCAGGGGTTAGGGTGGGGCAACAATGGATGATCAAATTTGAACAAAAGATTATACATAGGAAAAATCTTTAAAAAATGTTCTTCTCAAGATCAGCAAAGCAATGATTGGTGATGTTTATATGGAAGCATCCTTAGGTAGTATAGATTCAGATTTGTTCAAATCATGACTCCTGGGGCAGTGATTCATTTTGGTGTGCGTCCTGCGTAAATTACGCACAAATTTTGCCCAGGACGCATTATTTCAATAAATGTGCATCCCAATGGACGCAATAAATTTATAGAAGGGCATGTACTATTTAAAATTATTTCGGTATAATCTAATTCAAAACTTGACTGATTGCATCATATCCACGTGCTAAGCGATATGCATGAACGATTTTAACAGGTATAAGGTTGCCAACAACAGGTCAGATTTCATAACTGCAGTTAAAAGCAATTATCAGAATATATTTGAGAGTTAGCATAGTTCGATTATCACTGATAATGTCTATACCGTGGAACGTTTCTGAAGCGAATACTATACCTTTGTATTTAAGCTGTAACCTGTATCATTGTTGTTAGTTTTGTTTTTTTTTGTTTTTTTTTTTTTTTTGATTTTTCCTTACAAGCTAAGAAGTATAAAATTTAATCATTTCTATTTCTGACTATTTGTCATTTCTTCTTAAACTTTTTTTTTACTTCATTCTGCTTCTGTGCATTTTATGACCGATACAATGTGTGAGATCGTATACATGTACGATCTAAAAATAGAACCAAAGTGCACAGTGGACATTATATTATTTTTATGACACAAAATCACGTACAATCTTGGACAATTGATAGTAAAAGTATAAATCACTCACGGCTACAATAAAACATTTGCACTTTCGTGCAGTACCCTTTTTTTATTTCACCAGAATTTCCTCTGTAACATCTAATATACAGTACCCTTGGATTTGGACGCATTGATTTTGGCACGGGACTCAATGTTGTCATTAAGAGGGGTCCTTTGGACCCATGATAACCATTTTCAAAATGAATCACTGCCTGGGGGTAGAGTGGGGCCTCAAGGAAAGTACCCACTTATATGGTGAAAAAATCTATAAAAATCATCTAAAGCCATGATTAGTAAAAGAAATATGGAAGCATCCTCAGGTAGTGTAGTTTCAAATTTGTTCCAATCTTGCCAAAGACACTGCTCAATGACCTTTTGAACAAAAAAAATGTCACTTCTGTTTTTCCAGCCACTGCCATTAAAAGTTCTAAATATGAGAAATTATACATTTTTTATTCAATCATCAGTCACCATGAGAAAAAGAAATTATGCTATAGTTTTTGAATTATTTGCACATTTAATTTTAGGAGCAACACAGAGTCTTGATTTTTAGAGGCAAGGTTGAAAGAAAGAAATCAGTGTTGTAAAGAAAGAAAAAGATTTTCCACTCAAAGAATTTTGGATGACACAGAGGTAGAAATGACAATAATGGTTAGAAAGAATTAAGAAATTATTTATTTATTACATTGGCAGATTTACCCAGGGGAGGGGCAGGGGTAAGAAGATGTAATAGGTACTTGCAAATTTTTACATTGAGATTTTTTAAAATTTATTCTGCAGAAAATATAAACTTTAGGATGTACATAATCTAGTAGGTGCTATATTTAGATTAACACTCTTTTGATATGTTTAAAACAGACATCTTCTTAATAATTAATTATTTACAATTTAGCTCACCTGAGTCTAAAGCTCAAGTGAATTTTTCTGATCAAAGCATGTCTGGCATCTGTCTATCATACATAAATGTTGTGTGTCATCCGTAAAATTTCAATTTTTCAAAGTTTTTGTCCAGAAATCAACCCGATTTATCACAAGGTAATATTGGGTGGAGAGGATTTAAATTCATTCAAATGAAGGGCCAAGGGGAGATAATTAAGAAAAAGTTAAGGTTTGGTGAGTGTCATTTGAAAATCTTCTTCTCAAGAACCACTGGGCCAGGATAGAAAAACGTACGGAACAATCCTCAGGTAGCGTAGATTCATATTTGTTTAAATCATGACCCCTGCGGTTAGGATGGGGCCACAATGGACAATCAAAGTTTTACACAAGAATACAAAGGAAAGATAATTAAAAATCTTCTAAGGCCATGATTAGGCCAAGATAAATAAATAGTATGTTTCATATTCCAACCCGAGAAAAAATAGGTAGGTAGGCAAAACATTTTATTTCATTTTAACATTTTATTAGTACAAATTCAACTATCACAATAAACAAAATGAGAAAAACAAAGAGTTCATTTCTTTTTCCCAAAAGGTTGGCTTACTAATGGCATTTCTGTTTAATGTGTATAGAATATGCATTTTCCCAAACACCGAAGTGATCGAGATTTGGATTTCTAATAGTAAAAATGGAATTGTTTATTTCCGGAAAGATATCAGTGGATAAATTTTTCAGGGTCGGCTCATATATTTTAGGGTCGGTCGGGGAACCGGAAACACACAATTTATTTATCTAGGCCTTAGTCAAAGAAATAGAAAACATCATCAGCTAGTGTAGATTTAAGTTTGTTCAAATCATGCCTGCTTTCCCTCCCCTTAGGATTAGTTCGGACCCAGTATGAATTTTAACTTTTCAATACTGAACGCCAAAGAGCTCAAGTGAGCAATGTGGCCCATGGGATTTTTATTTGACCTTAGTCATTTCTATGCAAAATAGCCTATTGTATGTTCATTATGATTTTTTTTTTTTTGCCATACTTTGCCAATAAAGATATGGTATAAAATTGTCAAAAGGAGTTTAAAGATTTTTTAAAAATTTACAGGCAAGTTACAAAGGATATAGTGAGAACAATGGGGAGAGTTTTTTCCATAAAGGGAAATAACTCTTGCAAGTGGACAATTTTTTGTATTCATGTAAGAAATGCCAGTTCTGTTCACACAAGGAATACCCAGTTTGCTGTCACATTTAAAGCTTCCACTTGTCATACTTATGATGAAAAAAATTCTCCATCCTACCCAATCCCCTTGATTATGCATGATAATTATAAAAACTCTAATTGTTTTTTGAATGTTATTTTTCAGGGTTCAGGAACCATAAATTTGATGTTGGAGTCTTAACTTCACCCTGATAGACTTTGAGCACGTCATGAGTTTAAGACCTATTGACAAAAATCTTGCAATGGGAAGATAACACAGCCTTGATAAAAATCAGAGAAATCTCGATAGAAGAGTGTACTGGTCTGGACAAAAAAATTGCAATGTGAATAACTTTGAAGAAAGAAGAGTCTTAGCGAATTTCAGAGAATTCTTGATGAAAGAATGCATGTGTTGTTCCTGATTAATTTGTACATGAAATTTGTACTTTTGACATCATTTGACACTCCATTTGAAGTGATGCATTTTTGATAAATTTCTATTTGAAATATGTCCATTTGGTACTCCATTTAAAATGTCACATCCATGTCGCAGATTACCGCTGATGAACTAGGGTCTGCATGTTTAAAAAAACTTGAATTTCTGCATTTATATTGATTGAATTTATTAGCTCACCTGAGCCGAAGGCTCAAATGAGCTTTTCTGATCAAAATTTGTCTGTTGGCTCTCGTTGTCATTGTAAACTTTAATAATTACGAAATAGAGAAAATTTAATGGCACAATTAAAAATATTCTTCTCTAGAACCAATGGGCCAGGATAGATGAAACTCACGTGGAATCATTGTCAGGTAGTGTAGATTCAAGTTTGTTTAAATCATGACCCCCTGGGTGTAGGGTGGGGCTACAATGAAAGTTCAAACTTTTAGGAAAAAAAGGTCACAGTCCAAAAAAAAAATGTAAGCATCCTTAGTTAGTGTAGATTCAATTGTGTTCAAATCATACTCCCCCTTTTTAGGGATAGGTCAGAACCACTTGTGCATTTAAGCTTTTCAATACTAAACTGATTTTTGCTTTTTTCCTAGCCACAGTACTCAGGTGAGCGAGGTGGCCAATGGGCCTCATTAAATTTGTATATAATCGAGGCATTTGCTATTTGAATATTTTTCGAATAGTTTCTTTGCCATTTTCCTGAAAGTAATTTGCACATTTATTTTATTTAAAGTTATCTGGTAATGATGTGTTATTAACCTACCCATTTGGTGACAAGAGGTACATTATTATATTGTAATATTTACTCATTGTCGAAAAATCAAGACCAAAATTTGCCACTCAGGGTGGGATGGGAGATGGAATGTACTAAAATTATATGAAAATGGGTAATAAATTGTGATCATTTTTTTTTATGGTGTTGTCTTGGATTTGAATGACAAACATGCACAGGAAGGCATGTTGGAAAAGCCGGATTGACTTATTGGAGTTCTGTCATATACATATTATAATCATCGACCCAAATACTATTCACCAACATTGAAAATACATGTTCAAAATATGGGAGCTACTATATGGCCTATATAGGAGCTCCTAAATTTTGAACACGATTCAGGTCTACATTAATGAAAATAGAGGAGAGATCTTAGAAAATCAAAATTTCCACTTAGCCATAAATGAATTAAAAAAACAAGATTTGTTTGTGAAACAATGATGCCCCCTAATAGCAGCTTATGGTGAAGGTCAAAGTTTCTCAAATGCAAGTTAAAGTCCAAGGTCAAGGTATCAAAAGTGTTGTTACCTAAAAGCAGGTCTTGTCTCAAGGAATATGCCTGTAAAATATGAGAGTCCTAGCACTAACTGTTGAAAAGTTATGGTGAAGGTTAAATTTTTTTTCAGAAGTAAGTCAATTATCAAGGTCAAAATAATGGTGTCTAAGGGAAGGTCTTTTCACAAGAAATACACGTGAAATATGAAAGCACTAACACCAACAGCGACTGTTCAGAAGTTATGGCCAAGCTAAGGTAAAAATTTGGTAAAATTTTGCAAAAGTGGGTCAAACTCCAAGAGATCAAATAAAAGTAGTAGTGTTTATTTATTATAGTGAGATGTGTTTAACAAAATTGATAATTCTTTTTACAAACACCTGGCACGATGGACCTATATGTCACCTTTAAGACATACTATTATATACTTGTATAATGTTTACCCAAAGAAAGGTCTTGTCACAAGGAATACAGTCATGTGAAATATGAAAGCCATAGCTCCAACCAATCAAACATTATCGACAAGGTTTAAGTTTTTTGAGAACAAAAAGACAGACAAACAAGGCATAAACTGTATGCCCCTAAATCTTTGATTACGGGTGTAAAAAATACTAATGCAAAAGGTCTACTATATTATACAGATTTGTTCACATTGTACCTTAACCAAATTTTGGCCATAATATTGGTTCAAAGTAAAAGAAGGTAAAAATTAGGAAAATCTATGCATTTTTTTTTTCCACATCAATATCAGAAAAAAAGAGTTAAAATTCCTTAGAGTTACATAAAATTAGATCTTATATGATTATATGCAAAATCCTGTATATGTGTCTGATAATCCATAAATTATACATGTTATATGTACACATTTTAATATAAAAATGACAGTTATGCAGTACCTCCATATGCTAGACCTAGAGAAGGAATTCACACTCAAATCTAGCATTGAAAAACTTACATATAGGTAGATTTCCAAACAAGAGGCCCAAGGGCCATAACGATCACCAGAGTACAATGCAACAATTTAGAGGATCCACAAACTGATAAATGAAGTTTTGTTGCCCAAAAGCAAGAAAAATAGTATGATTAGCATCAACAAAATAATTGGTCTAGTATCTATCTGCCCCCCCCCCCCTTTATCACTATTATCATGCAGACTATTAACAAAATGTTTATTTTTAATCCCATATTGGCCTCTCTTGGCCTTTAAAGAACATTTAAAAAGATGTTATTTTTGTCTCATTTTTATTCATCCATTATTTCCAAGTCATTAAAACTATGAATTTCAAAGTACTTTTTGTATTATACAATAAATATTCTTTCATAATTCTCTTATTCTATTAAGCTTTCAAATACATTATTTACATTGATTAATTATCAAAGGTGAATGGCAAAGGGGAATAACTTTGCTCAGCAGAATACAAGTTAAATGAGCCCTGGCCAGGACCAGAACTCTTGACTACATGGTCAAGGTCTTCAAAATTCTGGTAAAAATACCCCTGCATATTAAAACTTTTACTTTGTTTGCCTTGAACACCCCCAGAAGCATAGAAGATTTTCAAAGAAATGCATTTTCACTATATTATTAAATAAATAGAGCCCCATCCTTACACCAGAACATCTGACCCATTGGCCATGAACTCACAATTCTGGAAGAAGCACCCTTGCTCATCATAACTATACACTTGTTTCTTTACTTTATAACCAATAGTAGCAAAAATATTTTGAAAGAAATCATGTATTTTACTATATAATCAATAGAGCCCCCCCCCCCCCCCATTACCAGAACCCCTAACCCAGGGGCCATGAATTTCACAATTTTGGAAGAGGCATTCTTCCTTATCATAACCATGCACTTCATTTGTTTGAAAAATACTCAAGAGCAGAGAAGATTTTGAAAGAATTTATGCCTTTTCCCTATATAATCAATACAGCCCCACCCTAACACCAGAGCCCCTGTCCCAGGGGCCATGAAATTCATAATTTCTGAGGCGACAGCCATGCTCATCATAACTATGTACTTAGTTTATTTAGTATCCAGGAACAGAGAAGAAGATTTTCAAAGAATTAATGCAATTTTACTATATAATCAATAGAGCCCCACCCTAACACCAGAACCCCTGACCCAGGGGCCATGAAATTCAAAATTTTGAAAGAGGCACTCTTGCTCATCATAACTATGTACTAAGTTAGTTTATTTAATACCCAGGAGCAGAGAAGAAGATTTTTCAAAGAAATAATGCACTTTCACTATATGTTCTACAGAGCCCCACTCTAGCACCAGAACCCCTGCCCCTGGGGCCATGAATTTCACAATTTTGGTAGAGGGCTCAATGCTTATTACAATCGTGCCAACAGTTTGACTGCTTGATGTCCAGGAGTAAAGAAGAATGTTTTTTTAAAGATTGCATTAATTTTGGTAGTTTTAGCCCCACCCCTCAGGCCCCAGGGGGGCAGGGACCATGAAATTTAAAAAATTTTTCCCCTTCACCCATAGATGCTATATGCCAAATTTGGCTGAAATTGGTCAAGCGGTTTCAGAGAAGAAGCTAAAAATGTTCAAATGTTAACACACACTGCACGACGCACACTGCACGGTGACTGACGAAAACAGATAGCAATAGGACACCTGATTGACTTAGGTGACCTAAAAATATAAGCACAAAACAAGACTCAAGTAATTAATTTATTATATTTTTCTGGCATAAACTTTTTTTTCTTAAATCAATCCACACAAAAGAGAAATGAAATATCTCTAAATTCCATTAACTTTATATCAGTGTCCTGTTTGTGTGGGATTTTTATCTGCTATTACATCTGTACATATTCTGTATTGCTAATCTTGAAATGCTTAAAGACTGATATCATGGACTCTGCTCTCTCAAATAAGATTGACCATCAAGTCAAAAGCTTATAGGCTCAGTGTTACAGAACTAACAGTACAGAATTAAGTGATGGCAAAATGTCTGACAGTCTATTAATCCATCTGAATCTAAACAGATCTTTCTCTTTCTTCAGATCCTTTTCTTTCAAACAAAACTTTTTCAAAGTTGGTTATGACGTCATCAATAGGAAGTACTGAAATATAACAAAATTAATATTTCACCTGATTATTGATGAATTAAATAACACATTACAAGAAGCCCATGGGCCACAGTGCTTACTTAGTCACCTTGGTCCTACACATCTAGTGTTCTGGTTCTGAAGAATTTTTTTAAAATGTCCCTTTTCTTCCCAATGAAAAATGATCCAATACTGTGGCCTCACCTTAGCCTAACTGTTTATAATTAAATTAATTTTAACCCCAATAACATGTCCTGCTGTCATTCCATCACACTTTGAACTTCATATGCTGATACATATAAATTATTAATGAGAGCTACTCAACAGCATGAACATTTTTTGACCTTGACCTCACTTTTCTTAAATTTTTCTTTAGTTCAGTTTCAAGAGCTATTTAAGATATTTTTTTCAAACCTTAAATATGCATATTGATGGGATCTATTCAATGTCATAATCATTATTTTACTTGACCTTTCCTTTGACCTTGACCTCACTTTCCTTAAATAAGTGAGTAGCTCACTTTCAAAGAAACTATTCA